GTGAGCAGCTGTCCAGAAGCCGGCAACTGATCTGCCTCGACCGGGAAGAGCGCAATGATGGTGCCAACTTGGGCCAGTGAAGCAACGTCCTCCACAACTAGACTGAAGAAAAAAAGGACAGCAACTTGTCTGTTCCCCTTCCCCAATTCCCCAGCACTGTTCCCATCCCCCCAATTCCCCAATTTAAAAAAAAAATCTTTAAAAATAAAAACAAAAAAAAAAACATTTTAAAACAATTTTTACCAAAAATATAGCTAACAGATGCAGCCGGGTGGCTCAGTTGGTTAAAGCGCATGCTCTGAGCAACAGGGTTGCCCATTCAATTCCCACATAAGCCAGTGAGCTGCGCCCTCCACAACTAGATTGAAGACAACGACTTGAGCTGAGCTGCTGGTGGGCGGCCGGATGGCTCAGTTGGTTAGAGCACATGCTCTTAACAACAAGGTTGCCGGTTCGACTCCCACATGGGATAGTGGACTGTGCCCCCCACAACAAGGTTGAAAACGGCGACTGGACTTGGAGCTGAGCTGCACCCTCCACAACTAAAATTGAAGGACAGCTTGACTTGGAGCTGATGGGTCCTGGAAAAAAACACATTGATCCCCAATAAAGTTCATATATATATTAGTTTCAGGGGTACACCATAATTATTCAACATTTATATACCTGAAGAAGTGGTCTCTGTTATGGATTGAATTTTATCTCCCAAAGATATGTTGAAGACCTAACCCCTAGTACCTCAGAATGTGACCTTATCTGAGAATGGGATTGCTGCAAAGGTAATTAAGATGAAGTCATAGTATAGTGAGGTAGGTCCTTAACCCATCGTGACTAATGTCCCTCATAAGAAGAGGACAAAACAGAGACACAGGGAGAGGATGTCATGTGACAAGAGAGGCGGAGATGGGAGTGATGCCACTGCAAGCCAAGGAAGGACAGAGATGGATGGCCACCATCAGAAGCTAGGAGGCAAGAACAGAGCCTCCCCTGCAGGTTTTAGAGAATGCACGACATGACCCTGCCAACACCTTCACCAGAACGGCCAGAATGAGTTTCTGTTGCTTTAAGCCACCCAGTTTGTAGTATTTGTTACAGCAGCGGTAGGAACCTAATACAGTCTTCAATGTATTCAATGCTGCACTGCACAGGAACACTGGCAGCTGTGTCTCTGGGGCACACCACCCCCTCCATGCAGATTTGTGTCTTTCTGTAATTGCCATGGTAACCACCTAGGACATTGAGATTCTGCTCTACCCAGCTGTTCCTCCTTTGGGGCCTCTATCTATCCCTTGGATGTTACTATCTAGGATGGCTGGGGGCCGAGGAACATCCCTTCTCCCTTCTTGGATAAAGAACTTGCTCCACACACAGAGGAAAATCTGCCTGATGCTCACTTCCCCTCAGATCACTCCCAACCCCACAGCCTCTCTTTTCATTCTCCTGCCACAGGAACCCTGATGTATAGTTTACATTTTCTCTAGAGTCGCAGGTTAAGTTTATAGTGTAAATCACTCCTCCTCCTTTCTGATATCTTGGAATGTATCCTTCTGCTTATGATATGATGTCTTCCTCTGGGAATGAAGATTCTGACAATAAAGTGGGCCACCAGAATAGATCCTCTTTATTGATATTGAATATGTAAGACAGACTAGGTTAGTTTATCAAATATAAGCATGTAGGTCTTTACTTTTAAAGAAGTGGACCTTTAGCAGAAATTTACCTAAATGGCCTTGCATTCAATATACTGTATGCTCCTTTTGAGAAGTTGTAAGTGCATAGTCCTGAGACAGCAATACATAAGAGCTTGACAATGGATTATGGCACATCATACTTAGAACAGTTGGTTAAATTCAGATCTTAAATGCAGGTTGTTTTGTTGGGTTTTTTTTAACAATAGTCTGAGTGACCTAGTTAGCCATTCAAAGTTGTGTTTTAATTTATGAAATAAAACAATCATCATTAAGAACTAATGGATAAAGAAAAGTAGACCAAATCAAAATCAAATAACGAAGAGGAACATGAAGAAGCAAAGACAAGTGAAAGGATAAAAGGTAAAAATCATGTGTAGAAGGTGTAAGGTGGCCAATTTCTTATTGAGGAGAGCTGTAATATAAACATGACCAATCCTTTTGTTGATTGCAAAACTGTATGAAGATTATTCCAAAAGAAGTAGAAGAGAAAGCATGGTGCACACATCTCACCATCTGGATTTGAGTCAGATCTGACTGGAGATGCTCTTATCACTATGCAGAGCCTCCTCTGCATCTAGGTAGGGAAAAGCTCCCTTTGTATTTCTTCTTTTTGAGAGCAAAGTAACTCCTCAAGGGCCTTCTGTGCACCAAACTAATGTAAATATTTGGCTTCCTTAAATTGTGATCAATGCAAACCATGAGTATTGCTGCTGGTAGATGACTGTGAGCTGAGGGCCTTGACACACAGGCTGATGGGATTTTCTTGAACTCCTAGGAGCTGAGGTGACCTACATGAACATGACCGCCTACAACAAGGGCCGGTTGCAGTCCTCGTTCTGGATTGTGGACAAACAGCACGTGTACATCGGCAGTGCCAGTTTGGACTGGCGATCCCTGGGACAGGTAATCTCCACATGACACTGACTGATAGGGCCTGAGGTTCTGTGAGTTCCATTTGCATGCATGAGGTTTGAGTTATTCAGGTTTAATGATACTTTTCTCCACATTTTTGAGCAAGCTATCTTTATTTCCTTTTACTCCTTTGCTTAGACAGACAAGGTACATGTATTCAAGTGTTGATTTCTCTGCTTGAGGATCACTCTTTGGTCTTTGGTTTTTTTGTTGTTTGTTTTGTAGGAAAGTAGATTGATCTTTTAAATGTTCATACTTGATCTGTATAGTCATTTGGACATTATTTCCTTTTGAAATCGGTCATCATTGTGACATGTGAAAATGTCCCCACTTTAAACGTGGCAAATGCAGAGTAAGGATCAGTTGCGAATTATTTCCGATTAGTCACCTGAAGCACCAAAGCCATCCTATCCTTTCTCCATACTTACAGACTCCTAAGTGGTAGCTAGTTTCCATTCATATTACAGAAAAGACCAGAGTTGTCCATGAGTCAGAAGATGAAGTGAGGAAGCTCTAGTACTCAGCTCTGTTTTAGAGCTAGTCAAGCTCCTTTCCTAAGGACCACTCAATGCCTTACTCTTCATTTAATGTCACTCTCAGTAGGAACTGGAGAATTGCAACCTCTCCATTATGGAATGGCATGGAGTTAGGCCCTCCAGATCTGTCCAGAAACACGTTCCTCTGACGTGGTCCCATGGCCGGTTTGTTCTCAGCCCCTAAACCGCGTTATGAGAGGGGGAATCAACAGAGGGAACTTGTGAAATTTCTCCCCTTCAGCTCAAAGATACCAACAACATCATACTTTTCAAAACCTAAATGGATTATCATATTTCTTAAGTATGGAATAAGTGTAATACCAGGTTAAAAATTAAACTTATTTTATGACCCATCAAAAATTCGTGGAGGGGAACCTGTTAAACAACAAAACGTAACTTCCATGGCTGAAAGTCTTTTTTAAAAGGATGGTTGAGGCCCCAGTTTGATTCACGGCCCGAGCCGAGCTGCTGCTGAGCTGCCAACAGGTGGCAGGATGGCTCAGCTTAAAAAGTAAATAAATAAATAAATGAAAGGAAGGATGTATTAGGCCATTGCTAGCAAGAAATACCAGGTCCTGGGGCATGAAATCTGAAGCAACAGCAGCAGCGCTAGGTGAAAAGACATTCCCCCCATTCTGGACTTGTTAGGTGTTTTTATACATCAAGTTGAGGGGAGAAGGATGTAAGCAGTGCTGAAAGAATTTACATTAGCTGTAGATAAAGGGGGGTGGCTGGAGTTAGTTGCTGCAGGGCAGTTCTGGGACAGGTGCATAGTCCAAGAAAGACGTGTTTGCCCCTTTGGGTAGGCTGTGGGCAAGTCCGGCAAGTTCACGTACAAGTTGAGGCTGCTGGGGTTCTATGATGCCTGGCCGCCCTCTCTTGAGAATACTCATCACAGAAATAGCCACCTGGAAATTAAACCAAAGTTCCAACAGACATACTCACACATGAATGTGAGCAGCCTTCGGTTAGCTGATCCACAGCTATTAACAGACTGACTCTTCTGTCTCTTTTCTCTCATTCTCCGGCTGCTGTAATTTAATTTAGAATATCTCAGAATTTCTTTTCTCATCAAAGCCCATGAAGCACTAAGCACCCTGAACAACCCCATAAAGAGAGAGCGGGTGAGGGTTCGTCCTAGCCAGCTGTCCCTGGAGACTGTCCTTGGAGGAGAGCAGCCTGAGGTGGGTTGGAAAAGGCTGTGGGCTTGAATAAAATATATATGTTGGTGGAAACCTTGAAGCCCTCGGTGATGTCAGGCCACATGGGTCTTCGCACATGGACTTCCTTTGTGGAAATCTGCATTCTTCTGTGCAGCTTTATATACACTTCATTTGTCATAACCACCTGAGAGTGGATATTATCTTCATCTTCCAAATGAAGATAGTGTTGGAAAAATGAAAGCAGAACCAATTCTATTGTTGCTCTTCTCTCCTGTTAAAATAGTAAAACACTCTCTAACCTGTGTAGGAATTAGGCGTTTGGAGAAGGTTCTCATAGTCTTTAGACTGATGTTTAAGTTGGCAGAGTCTGCATCTTTCATTTTATTCCTGGCATTTTGGGACTCAGATATGAATCAGTCCAAAGTCGCCATTTTCTCATCTTTCCATGGCTAAACCAAACTCTTCCAAACTAAAATAAATCTCGTTTCTATTCTCTTAATCTTGTTTCTATTTTCCCCCTGGAAGAGACTATGTTCTTTAATGGGGGTGGAGAGGAGACATAGCTGGGAAGTGGGCAGCATTCAAAACTTTTCTGCATGAACATTTAACATCCCATTAACCCCCCTGCATCTGTATTGAGAGTTCTTTTTCAGCAACACCTACTCCTTCTCCTCCTCGCCATGCTCACACACAAATGCTGTCTCCTACCTTACCCACCCTTTCCCCATAGTGTTCCGCATTTGGGATCATGTTATTACACTTAATCATCTACCTTCAATTAGTTTTCTTTCAACTGTGCTAGACTGTGGGATTTTTCTTGGTCTACTTCAGTGTGACATAAAACATTGCCCAGCAGGACCCCATGCATTATAACAGCTTTTAATTTGAGCAAAGTTGTGTGTGAAGCTACCAATTACATGAAGAATTATAATACATTTTCCAAGTGTCAGATTTCTCCTACATCATCAGCTTTATATTTTGTGAAGTTTTCCAGTGGGAGCAGATTATTGGTACATTAATTGTTGCCTTAAATCTATAGTAAGTAGGAGAAATAATACAATAATAATAACAGCTTCAGTGTATTGAGGGGTTTCTCTACACTAGGCATTCTCCTAAGCATTTAAAGAATAGGTATTCATTTAATTTTTACAGTAACCCTTTGTTGTAAATGTTACTATCATTACTTTATTTTACAAAGGCGGAAGCTGAGAGATACATATAAGTAACTTACCCAAAGTCACCTTCCAGGAAATTGACAAAGCTAGAATTCATACCCAGCCACTCTAACTCCAAGCCCTTCACTCTTATTTCACTGCTATTAATTTTAAGAAATAAATTACATTTATGAAAAATCATTTTCTTTCATGATCTTGCTGTGACGAAAAATCATTTTCTTTCATGATCTTGCTGTGACGCTACGCTACAGATTTCCTCTCTAACACTCTTTTTTTTTTTTTTTTAAGAAAAGCTACCACTATCCATCAAAAAACCCTTCACTTACTCACACCTGATTGCAAACCCATGATGACATCATGGCCTAAGAATCGCACCTCCTGTTGCTCCGTACTTGAGTTCTGAGAACTCCACTTAACCTCCGGGTTGCCTTTGAAAGGCTAGGAAGTCCATTTGTGTCCACTTCTGAATTCCTCTCTTCCAGAGGCTCAGGTGCGCCCCTAGAATCCATGGCCGCAGGGAGTCCTGTGGGAGGTAAGAGAACATCACCACAGGCTTTCCCACATAGGGGTCTGGATTTGTGAATCTCAGGAGCTCCTGCAAACACCACAGAGGAAACAAAAAGACAGCACTAACACAGCACACAAAAGACTAGCTGGTGTGTGAAGGAGAAAGAAAAGAGCACAGCAGGCCTCAAAGCATAGGGCTCTGGGGGCGTGATTCTGGAAAAGAAAGCCTGAAAATCCTGTTTGAACAAAAAGTTATTTGTATAAATTTTATTTGAACATACCCCCTTAAATGAAGGACTGGCTTGGAGTTGAAGGCGGGGTTCAGTAGGTTCATTGGTCCCAAGAATCTGGCAACTCTGGAGATAGGAGATTTTTACATTAGTAATATTTTTTACAGGAATTAGAACAAAGAGGAATGCCACTTAAACTCTATTAATGTGTGCACTGGTCTTAGTCCACCTTTATAAATTAAAACAGGCCAGCTCTTGGGGTGCACGAGCTCGGGAGCAGTAAGAAGAGCCTCTTCCAGTGACTGCCGCACCCCTGTGCAGGCGGTGGGACCGTGTGACAACCCTATGGGATGGCACAGCCAGAGGGAACAGAGGGCATTATTTCCAGCATCTGGAGTTGGGCCCACTGAGAGAAGGACCGTACTGTCAGCAAGAATGGGGAATGTCGGAAGGAAGGGGCCGCTGTGATGTCCAGCAGGCAGCCGGAGAACCAGCAAACAGATTGGCTGATAGTAATGCTTTTTATCTAATAGCTTGAACACCTGAATAGTACTAGTTCTTGACTGACCCTAAAGCTGCTGACTTCATCGTTGCCGCTATTTCTGACAATAACCATTTGATGGAATATTGAGAAGAGCTGCCCCTCCCTCAGCTTCGCCAAGAGGGGACTGCCTTCAAGTCTCCTCAGTCTAAATCATAGCCTGATGTTAGCAATGAGAAAAAGTGCCAAGACTTAGAGTCTTCATTCCCCCTTCTTGTCCCCCTTTCTTTCAATGAAAAGAACAAAGGACTGAAGCACAGTTTTGAAGACCCAGTGGGCGTGCCAGTGGGCAGAATGGGGTCGCTGTTTTTATAGCACATCCTGCTAGCACTTGAGCTGACATTTTGCTCAGAATTTATGAGGTTCTGAAGACATATCTTAGCTCCTAGGGAAGTGGTGCCTTGGTAATGCAGGTAAATAGATACCAGAACGAAAATGGAGACAAGCCAAGGCAAAAGGCAGTTCAACTGCTAATACAACAGAGAATAATTAATGTTTCTTTTGCAACATGAAAACAAGGAACAGGAAGAATTGCTTCTCCCAATATTGAGTTAGAAGATTACTTGGTCTGCTTAGAAAGGGCATTTTTGTTTGCATATACATTCGAAAGTAAAGGAAGGAATGGAAGTCCGTTTTTTACAGAAGAAATATGTTAGCAGACTGTATTTTCAATAGCAAAATCCTGCTTTTTTCCTACAATATTGAAAATAATAATTTTGCAGATAATATTATTCAAAAGAGGCATAAGTAGGGGCCGGCTGAGTGGCGCGATGGTTGGGGGATGGCTTGGGACTCCAGAAGGTCCCAGTTCGGATCCCACATATGAGGGCCAGTGACAC